TTTCAGAAGATCCCCACAGGTTGCTCCAGTCCCAGTGCTCGGGCTGCAGTGCCTCTTTACCATTCATTAAGGGTGTCCCCTTGGTGATGGGGGGGGGGGGGTGGGGAACAGCTTCTCACGAAGAAACCAGGGCCCCCAGAGAAGCTGATGGAGCTGGGCAGTGGGGCTCTCTTCCTGAAATTCAGGGAATGACTCTAGCAGGAAGAATCAGGGTAATGTGGAGAACCAGCAACAGAAAACAAAGAAGAGAGCCGGGCGTGACGACTCACACCTGTAATCCTAGCTTCTGAGGACCCAGGTTCAATGCCAGCCCAGACAAACAAATGTGAGAGACTCTTAACTCCAGTTAACCAGCAGAAATCTGGAAGCAGAGGTTTGGCTCAAGTGGAAGAGCACCAGCCTTCAGTGAAAAAGCTAACAAGGGACTGGGAAGGTAGCTCAGTGGTAGAGCGCTTGCCTTGCATGCATGAGGCCCTGGGTTCGATTCCTCAGCACCACATAAGCAGAAAAAAAAGCCGGAAGTGGTGCTGTGGCTCAAGTGGTAGAGAGCTAGCTTTGAGCTGAAGAGCTGAGGGACAGCGCCCAGGCCCAGAGTTCAGGCCCCATGACCGGACCCCCCCCCCCCCAAAAAAAAAAAGAAAAGAAAAAGCTAAACAAGAGCTTAAGGCTTTGAGTTCAAGCCCCAGTACTGACACATACACAGAAAAGGAAAAAAGAAGGGAGGGAGGGAGTAGAGAAGCGGATAGTTGAACTGGGGGAGGCCCACCCTCCACCCCAGCCCCGTACTTCTCTGATGGAGCGCCCCAGAAATGGACACCGCCATATGAGCTGTCCATTTATATTTAGTCAACAGCCATCATTCAATCCACCACGAGCTAGCTAGAGATGGAGAGAGAGGGAGAGGAGATGGAATCATAAACTTCCACCCTGGGACCCTGAGCCAGGGCTCCTCCTTCCTGCCCTCTGGCCTCAGTTTACCCACTCACAACTGAGGCATTGCACAAGCCAGAAAAGTCATCCTAGCTTTCCTCTTAATCTTTCAGTGAACATAACACATCAACAACGAACAAATGACCTCTATAAAGTGTGCAGTTTGCTATGGTGTGCAATTACCTATGGTGTGAAGCCACCCTGGATAACAGCCCCCGCCCCCAGCTAATTAACCCAGCTGCGGCTTCCCCGGGAGCCATGTGCACATGCCCTCCACAGGGGAAGGGAGGGGAGGGGAGAGCACAGAGAACTTCGCTTTTTGGAAGACGTGTGGTGCATTGCACACAGCCCCACAGCCCAGTGAGTCAGAATTTCCAAAAGGCTTAATTTTAGTGCCCTTCTGGTGGCTGCTCTCCAGGCTGCTTCTGGAGGCCCCGGGCGGAGTTTCCTGTGCTCAATTCCAGAGATGACAGAGGGGCTCTCCCCTAGTTCTTTGCCAGAATTCTCAGATACATTTTCCTTCCCTCTCCTTTCTGTAAGCAGCAGTCAATGCTGAAGAGGGCAGCTCATGCCTGGATCTCTCCGAGTTCAGACTCCACCAGCTCAGCTGCTACTTGGCTCGCTCCACATTTTCTTCTTTATTAGTCAGCTGGATCTTTTTCTTGTTGTTGTTGTTCTGGTACTGGGGCTTGAACTCAGGGTCTTGTACTCTACTCTGGCTTAGCTTTTTTTGCTTGAGATGGGTGCTCTACCACTCGAGCCATACATTGACTTCTGGCTTTTTTTTTTTTTTTTTTTTTGAGTCTGGTCATGGGGCCTGAACTCTGGGCCTGGGCGCTGTCCCTCAGCTCTTCAGCTCAAGGCTAGCACTCTACCACTTGAGCCACAGCGCCACTTCTGGCTTTTTTCTTTTTGCTTATGTGGTGCTGAGGAATCGAACCCAGGGCCTCAGGCATGCAAGGGAAGCGCTCTACTTGAGCCACCATCCTAGCCCCACTTCTGGCTTTTTGCTGGTTATTGGAGATAAGAGTCTCCTGGACTTAACTGCCTGGGCGGGCTTCCAACCATGAAGCTCAGATCTCAGCCACCCAAGTAGCTAGGATTACAGGTGTGAGTGCATGGGCTTCTTTGTCTTTCTTTTCTTTTCTTTCTTTTTTTCTTTCTTCCTTTTTTTTGGTTGGTTGTGGGGCCTGAACTTTGAGTCTGGGAACTGTCCCTCAGCTCTTCAGCTCAAGGCTAGCACTCTACCATTTGAGCCACAGCACCACTTCTGGCTTTTTCTGCTTATGTGGGGCTGAGGAATCATACCCAGGGCCTCATGCAAGCAAGGCAAGCGCTCTACCACTGGAGCCACCTTCCCAGCCCCTGGGCTTCTTTTTCTGTGCATGTGTGCCTGTCCTAGGGCTGAACTCAGGGCCTGGGAGCTGTCCCTGAGCTTCTCTGCTCAAGACTAAAGTTCTGCCACTTGAGCCACAGCCCTGCTTTCAGCCTTTTTTTTTTTTTTTTTTTTTGGTAGTTTGTTGGAGATAAGAGTCCCATGAACTTTGCTGCCCAGGTTGGCTTTGAACCACAATCCTCAGATCTCAGTTTTCCTCAATAGCTAAGATTACTGGTATGAGCCACAGTGTATGTATGTATGTGCTATTTTAAAGTAGAAAAGGACCACCACTGAATGGAAACTAGGGCCTTGGGCTAGGAGTGGTATGGCATGTGCTTAACATACACAAAGCACCACAAAATAACAATAAAACTGGGTGCTGGTGGTTTATTCCTATAATCTTAGCTGCTGAGGAGCTGAGGTGGGAAGATTAAGATTCAAAGCGAAGCCATGCAGACCCATCTGAGAGACTCTATCTCCAATTCACCAGCCAAAAGCCAGAAGTGGAGGTACATACAGTTCAAGTGGTAGAGCACCAACCATGAGAGGAAAAAGCCAAGTGAGAGCTCAAGGCCTATGAGTTTAAGCACCAATATTTACACACACACACACACACACACACACACACACAAACATTCAAATATTAATAATATTAGTTGATGACTATATCACACTTATGAAAAGCAATGGGTAGCCAACTCTAAGAATAATGTTTAGTAGCATTCTGTAGTTATGGAGCATGTTGGCACCTCACATACATACTCACCTATAAAGTACCATCACTGTTCCCACCTGGTTTGCCAAGGTTCACTCAGTTAAATAAGCAATCAGCAACCGTTAAAGCTGTCCCTGAGTTTGAATCTTTCCGCTGTTCTGAAATTGGCGCTGTGCGTTGTGTTAGCCACAGGTGGGGCAAGCCCCTCTGTAGATGGAGCTACCGGGTCTCCATTGGCCACAGACTCATTGCACTTCCACCTTCTGTGCGTGGGAGTCTCTGCCTCACTCTCCTCCATCTTGCTGGAGTCTAGCGTCTAGACCTCAGGTGTGTTTGGTGGAAGAGGGTTATAGTACACCATAGACTGAAGTGAGAATACCGGACCTAGAGTCTTAAAGCCACAGCTTGCAGGAGGCGGGGGCAAACCCACAGGACGGAAGTTCCTGTGAGCAGACCGTTGATTCAGAAGAGGAAATCAGAGATGAGTAACAAGCCTCAAGCTGCAACTTGGGGCACAACGCAGCCAAAGGGGAGCTGGAGGCCTGGATTTCCCAGAGCCATGGCAAGGCCTAGCTCAGTCTTTGAGCAAATCATCATCTGACCTCTTTGTGCCTTCGATTCCTTCAAAGAACAAAACTACACTTGTCCTGACTACCTGGAAGATGGTTGCAGAGATCTGACCACAAAGGGATTGCTGTGGGAAAGCATCCTGAAAAGCTGGAGCAGGATTTCTAGTCATTGCTAGTCACTGTGTGAAGCTGCTGCCTGGCGCTCAGAACCCCAGGGCCTGCGGCAACGGCCGGTGAGGCAATCGGCATGACAGGCTTAGAATAGACACCTGGAGCTGGTCACGCGCAAAGCAGGGGAGGCCCTTTGATTGGACCCAGGGCAGCTCCGCATAATTATGACTTAATAATGGAGATCCACCAAGCAAGGTGTGGCTGACCTCTTGGCATTCTAATTCAAGCTAGGCCTAGCCCTGTGTCAATCCTGGGTTGAAGCTAATTCTCCCGCCCCTTTTCCAATCTGACAGACACACACACACACACACACACACACACACACACACACACACACGAAAAACAAAAACAAAACAAAAAAAACCCTTGTTGGAAGCTGTGGACCTGAAGCTGTTTTCAAGCCTCTGGCTGGCCACAGGTAAGCTGTGAAGCCAGGGTTGTGACCCTCCCAAAGCCAGCACCATCCTGAGGAGGAACGAACCACCAGAAAGCCAGAAGTGGCGCTGTGGCTCAAGTGGTAGAACGCTAGCCTCGAGCTGAAGAGCTGAGGGACAGCGCCCAGGCCCAGAGTTCAAGACCCATAACCAACAAATATACATACATACATATATATATATATATATCAGGGCTCTAGCCCCTGGATGGTTCAAAATGTGTCTGAATGGCTGCTGGGCCTGGGGGAAGGGAGGAGAGACCCAGTGTGAAGACTTCCCGCCATCACCTTGTATCGGTTTGGCAAGAGGTGATTCGTACAAGCCCCTGTCCAAAGGCGACTGCAGTGCAAAGGTCCAGAGGCAGATACGAGTTTTAAATTGGTTGGGCATCGTGGTGCATGCCTGTAATCCTGACTTCAGCCTCTGGTGGGCCGAGGGCACGTGTCTGAGTCGGGGTGCGGGAGGAGGCGCGGCTGGGAGGGGGAATCGCACATTTGGGGGCTGGGGTTGGTGCCAGGTCCGCGGTGTGGATGAAACCCTGGGGCTCGGGGCGGGGGCGGTCCGAGCACCCGGCAGGTGGCCGACGGCGTGGAGGGCGCCCTGGGTCTGCGCCCCGCCCGGTGAGGACCGGACCCCGCTCCCCAGCGTGGCCTTCGGGGACCGCAGCTCCCCGGCGCAGGCGAGGAGCCCAGCCCGGGCGCGCGGCGGCGGCGGGCGGGTGGGGCCCGGGCGGGGCGGGGCGGGGCGCGGTGTCCCGGCTGGTGTCCCGTGGTCCCTGTCCCCGCCCCGCCCCGCCTCGGACTCGGACCGCGGAGGCCGGGCCCAGCCGCCCGCCCTGCGCCCCGGCGCTCCGCGCTGCGCTGCGGCCGGTAAGTGACGGCGGACACCGGGCCGATGGGGCGGGACGGGGCCGGGCCTGGTCCCCGGGCCCCCGGCGCGCCCCGGGGTCGGCGGCGCGGCCGGTCGGGGACCCCGGGGCGGCGCGGGGCGGCGTGTCAGCGCCGGCGGGCGGGCGGGCCGCCCGGTTTCAGTTCAAATCCTGCCGCCCCGCCCGCGGCAAAACCCGGCGCCTTCCCTCCCTGCGCCGGAGGGTGGCGTGGGCCGAGCCCCGACCCGCGCCAGGGGCGCGCGGCTCCCCGCGCTCCTCGCTAGGCGCGGGCCGACCTGCTGCCGCTGCCCGCCGCGGGTCTCGGCCTCGGCGGAGAGTGCAGGGTGAGAGACGCCCGTCCTGGTGGTCATGACCCCTCCTGGCCATGGCGACCCCCTCCCGACCATTGCCACCCCCTCCTGTCCATCGCGAACCCTCCTGACCACCACCACCCCCTCCTGGCCATCGCCACCCCCTCCTGACCATGGAGACCCCTCCTGACCACCACCACCCCCTCCTGACCATGGAGACCCCCTCCTGACCATCGCCACCCCCTCCTGACCATGGAGACCCCCTCCTGACCATCACCACCCCCTCCTGACCATGGAGACCCCCTCCTGACCACCACCACCCCCTCCTGACCATCGCCACCCCCTCCTGACCATGGAGACCCCCTCCTGACCATCACCACCCCCTCCTGACCATCGCCACCCCCTCCTGACCATCGCCACCCCCTCCTGGCCACCGCCACCCCCTCCTGACCATCGCCACCCCTCCTGACCATCGCCACCCCCTCCTGACCATCGCCACCCCCTCCTGGCCACCGCCACCCCTCCTGGCCATCATGACTCCCTCCTGGCCATGGTGACCTCCTCTTGGCCATCGCACCCCTCTCCTGGAGATCGCAACCCCCTCCTGGGCATGGCGACCCCTCCCGGGGAGGAGGCCGGCTGGGTAGTGCCCTGGAGAGCCCATAGTGAGGAGAAAGCCCCACCCTGTCCACCAAATTTCTTTACGATGCTCGGGCCGGGGCTCAGCCTCTCTGAGCCTCCTTCCCACCTCTGGCAGGGCTGGAGGGGACATGGGTGGATGTTGACTTTCCATGAGGATCTTCAAATCCTGACCCCTAATCCAGGAGCCGCAGCCCACACCGTGGCCAGGCTCACCGCAGCCTCAGCCTGAAAACCGGGGTGGGAATACCAGGCATCGTTCCATTGCTCCGGGACCGACCCTTTCCTCCTCTCTCCTGTTAGCGCTCTCCTCTGTGGGGCTGACCAGCTCCCGGAGCTGGGGGCGGTGCCTTGGTCACCCGGTGAGGGGCAGTGGCTTTCCTCTCCAGCAAGGGGAAATGTCACAAAGTCACCATACTTTTTTTGGCCCATATTGGAGCTTGAACTGAGAGCCTGGTGCTGTTCTTTAGCTTTTTGGCGCAAGGCTGGCACGCTGCCACTTGAATCATACCTCCACTTTGGGCTCTTTGCTAGTCAATAGGAGATAAGACTCTCATGGACTTTCCAGCCTGGGCTGGCTTCAAATTGATTCTTGGATGTCAGCCTCCTGAGTAGCTAGGATTGCAGGTATGAGCCGGGGGCATCAGGCAGTCATGGATTTTCTGAGCTTCATTCATCTCTCAAGAGGAGAGGAAGCAGGCCCAGAGAGGGGGAGTGCTTTGTTCAAGGTTGCACAGCTAGTAGCAGAACCTAGTGCACGCTCTCTCACTCGCCCTCCTTCTTTCCTTCCCTCCTCCTTTGTCTTCCTCTCTCACTCACTCACACACACATATGGGGGGGGGCAAAAGCCACAGGGTCAGGAGCTGGGAGTAGGAGGGGCACATTTGTGCCAAGGGCTGTTTTGCTCAGTTTCGTGTTAACTGTGCCCCAGTGGGACGCTCTAACACGTGTGGGTCTGCACATTCCTCAGGCAGGACAACAGGGTGTGCTGACAGCCGCAGCTGTGCCAAGCCAGCGCCCTCTCCCCAGCCAGAGAGGCCCGAGGTAGGGGTGAGGGGTGGCTGCGTGGGGGAGGGGGAAGACTTAGTTCTGGGTTCCTGGATCTTGCCCGGGGACCCGGAGGGGCTGATGGGAATCTAGGGAGGGCATAGGCTGGCACCTGGCCTGCAGGTGCCTTCTGGGTGTGATGGGCTCCTGTGTTTCCATGGAAACGATCCCTGCTTTGCATGCTGTCTGTGGCTGTGCACCTGGCCCAGCCTGGATGGCCCCTTGGCCTGGTGGGTGATGCAGAGACCCGAGCCGGGGCTGCTGGGGTGCTGGGTTGGCCCCTGTGGGAGGTGCTGGCAGGACCAGCTGGGTCTTTGAAGGATGTGAGAGGCTCTGAGAGGCTAAGGGCATCTGGGCCTTCCGGCTGCCCAGCTGTCAGGAACGGAGGTGGCCAAGTCAGATTACCTGTGTGCAGTCCTGCAGCCAGAGCTTTGATAGCCTTCCTTGGGAAAAGAGGGTGTCATGGGGTGCTATAGTATTTTTTTTTTTTTTTTTTGCCAGTCCTGGGGCTTGAACTCAGGTGCCCGGGCACTGTCCCTGAGCTGCTTTCAGCTCAAGGCTAGCACTCTACCACTTGAGCCACAGCGCCACTTCCGGCTTTTTCTGTGCATGTGGTCCTGAGGAATTGAACCCAGTGCATGCTAGGCAAGCATGCTACCACGAAGCCACATTCCCAGCCCCTGGGTGCTGAAGTATTAAATGAGATGTTCCATTGGAAGCAAAGCAGTTGCCACCGTTTGGGTGTGGGGGCCAGGTCTGGATATCTGGGTTCCCCCAGTTCTGTCCCTTCCCTTGCTTTCCCCATGTCTGGTGGTGAGTGGTCCTGCGTCACCTCCCTCAGGGTCTTTCCAGAATGAAGCCAAGCCCTTGACTGCAGGAGGACAGAACGGGGGAGGAGCAGGGGTGGCGATGGGTGGGAGGAGGGGGATTCAGAAGCAACTGCAATCTCTTGCCATCTCTCACCTGTAACACTGACAGGTGACCAGGCTGCCATTGCTGGCCTGTTTGCAGAAAAGGAGAAAAACCATGTGAAAATTCATGTAGTGGGGTCAGGATTTGAACTCAGGGCCTTTGTCTTGATGTTCTGTATTATAGCACCCAGTCTATTTTGGATGTTTCAAGAATGTTACAAGCTGAGTACTGGTGCCTGTCAATCATAGCTACTCAGAGATTCAAAGTCAGCAGGAAAATCTGAGACATTCTCCCATCCAACTAATCATCAAAAAGCAGGAAGTGAAAGTGTACCTTGAGCAGAGGTACAATCAGCAAGAACTAAACAAGACTAGGAGATCCCGAGTACAAGCCCAGTTTTGGCGCAAGGGTGTGTGTGTGCACACACACACAGAACAATGTAACATGTGAACCACTGGAAAAACTACAGATCAGGCCCACTGAGTCAGCTGGGGGAAAAAAAGAGCAAAAATGGATCCAGAACATTTCCTTCCTGTAATATCTATAAGCTCTCAGCTCTAAGACACTGGACTCTGGAGGGGCAAAGGGTGGAGTAAGAAAAGTGTCCTTTTGCCCCTCCCTTTGGAATCTCAGCTCGTAGGCTCTGGGAGGGAGCCTGAAGCTGCAAGCCAGGCAGCTGATGGGCAGGGAGTCTCCAGAGTCGAAGGGCAGGGGGGACAGCCGAGAAGTAAGGGGTGGATGGTAAGAAAGCAATCGTGGAAGTCAGTGTTCACCACAGGGGAGGAGGGAGGGAGGAAGGCGAGTGAAGGGGAGGGAGGGGCGCTTACAAGGAAAGTCTTTGTCATTGTTTCTTACTATGCATCTGTCTTCTCAAGAGATACTAGTTTGCAAAGTTAAGAACTTTTTGTTGTTGCCGGGGGTTTTTACTGCCCACAAATCTCACTGTGTAGCTCAGGCTGGCCTCCAATTCTCAATCCTCCCACCTCAGCCTCCCCAGTGCTAGGGTTACAGGCATGCACTCCCATCCCACCCTGCCTAAAATAAAAAAAAGGCCAAGGAATGTGTATGTGAAATCAGAGCGGCTGTCTTTGGGAAAACTGAGGAGAAGCCTGTTTTGCTCTCAGTAGGATCCACACTTCGGTGTTTCTCCAGTTTATAGAAGGGCTAATGGGCGTTACTTGCAAATATCTTTCTGCTTCCTCATTGACAAATAGGAGATACACACATTCCATTAGATCAACTCTTACACAGTGCAGAGTACCAAATTCTCCTGAGTATCAATCATGTCTGCATGGTCTCTCAGGCAAGCCGTCCCCTCCACTGGATTCAAATGTTAATCTGGTGGGAGTTCCAGATGAGTTCCCTTTATTTGAGAGTTCTCCCCCTTTCCCAAATCGTGTCATGATGGCTTTCATGATGCAGGGGCTCAGCAATCAGCAGGATGTTTTGAAGTCCCAATGGCTTGTCCTTCTGAATCATAAAATCCTGGCATGTTTGAGCTGGGAGGAGCCTTTGCCACCTGGACCATTCTGCTGGTTTAACAACCATCCAGAGACACATGCACAGCTAATGTCAACAAGGAACGCGAATCTGTGGATGGCACACCTACCTGTTGGCCACACCTGTGTATCGCTCTCCAGAGGACGCAGCCTGCCACTCCTGTGGGCCACAGCCTCCTCTCAAGGGCAGGCTTCGAGACAGACACCCGGCTTACCTGAGATAAACTGATTCCTTCATCGTCAAGGTGCAAAGCCAGAAGAGAGCTATGGCACGCAGTGTGCACGATACACTTCGAGAATTTAGGAGCAAAAACATCCAGAAATGGCCAGCCTCCTTGGCTCATAGCTGTAATCCCAGTACTCAGGAGGCAGAGGTTTGATGAGGATCAATGATGGAAGCCAGCCCAGAAAGACAGAGCTGAGACTCCTCAATTAATCAGCAAAGAGCTGGAAGCAAGATATGGCTCACGTGCTAGAGCACCAGCCTTGAGTGAAAACGCTCAGAACCAGGACCCAGACCCCCAAAACAACAACAGAATATCTGGAAAGGAAACACAGCAGTGCCTAGAATCTTCCTTCCTTTGAGTGCTCCTAGGAGAGCTGTTCTTTCTCACCTGTTGGCTAGATCTGCTCTAACACATTTCAGCTGCTGGTGAAGGAGGCGACTTGGGCCCAGGTGCTGCTTCTGGTTGAGGATGGAGCAGCGCTTTCACCTAGAGGGCGATCTGAAAGGACGAGGCTAAGGTGCTGCTGTAATTTCACTCCTTTGGAGCTGAAATCACAGGCTGCCCAACCGGGCTCAGTCTAGCCTGGGCAGGCCTCAGGGAAATGGCCTGAAAATACTTGGGCGGATCCTTCCATCTGTCAGGTGCAGGAAGGTTCAGCAGGAGACAGCTCCCACCTGGCCACACCGCCCCTTGGTCCTGAGTTTGTTGTCTTGCCTGCAACAAACAAAGATGCCTGGATGGGACTCAGAGGTTCGGGGTCCCGGGACTGCAGGCTCCAGCCCGGGTTTCTGCTGATACGCGGCTGGCCTTCGTTTTCCACCTGCTCCCTGGGCATAGGGACCCCAGCTCAGGTCCCACCCCGTGTGTCCTGTGCTTGGTCACAGACCCAGGGATCCCTTTGTCTTCTAACAGGTGACAACACAGAGGGCAGAAGTTTCTAGAGGATCTAATGAGAGAGACGCTCACACAGGTAAGCTGGCTTTGCGAAGGTTGGCTTTAAATGCAGGCTGTGTGTCCTTTATCCAAAATGCTTGGGATCAGGTTTTGTGGGTGTGTGTGTTAGTACTGGGACTTGAACCCAAGGCCTTGCACACTCTCTTAGCTTTATCAAGGTTTGGTGCTCTTGAGCCACAGCTCAAGTCCAAGGCTGGCTTTGAACCATGATCTTCAGTTCTCAGCCTCTGGAGTAGCTAGGTAGCATTACAGGCGTGAGCCATCAGTTCCCAGCTCAGAAGTTTCCCACACTTGGGAATACATACATAAACATAATGAGATACTTGGGACCCGAGAGAATTTCCTCTTGTCTCTCTGCCGGTGCACCTGCTCTGAGGCTCATCCATGCAGGGATTGTAGTGGGCCTGCATTTTGACCCATCACTTGAGGTCAGCAGTGGAATTTTCCACTTGGGGGATCACAAAGCTTTGGATTTGGGGAGCCTGTTGGATTTCCTCATTCAGGATACCTCACTTGGATTTTGAGACGGTGGCTGCCGTGGGGACGAGGTGCTGGATCAGCTGGACCCCTAGAGGTGGCTTTGTGGGTGTCAAGGCAGACCTCCTGGCCCCAGGCCATTCCCTCAATGTCTGTGTCCTTATGGCTGGTGGTGTGACGTCACAATGCCATGGAAATGGGAAGATATCACCACCGAGCCGGCCCTGGTTGGACCCTAATGAAGCCCAGAGTTGTTTTTTAAGATCTGGGAAGGGCTGCGTCCCTCCCAAGTGACATTTGCTGAATAATACAGGAGGCTGACTCACGGGGTCAGCCTCTCCCCTACGCTGGGAGGGGCAGACGTTTGTCCTTCACTGGCCAGCCTCCATTTCCTGCTCTGAACATGGAGGGTTGGAGATGGATCTCTGGGGCTCCTGGAAGTCCAGGCGATTTCTTACCTTGGAGCTTGTCTCCTGCGGTGTGCCCTTCCCCCAGGAGGGCGGCTCACAGTCCGGAGGCCACCAGCGCATTGTCCTGTTCTGACACTACAGCCTGGACTATCCCTGAGCCTCACAAACCCAGGCACCTGGACCCTCCTCACCTGCCCACCTGTGAGAAGGCGGTCACCTCTTCCTGCAGTCCTTCCCCTGCCTCCTCACATCCCAAGGACACCTGGTGGAGATCGCACCTTCTAGAAGATTCTATAAGATTAGGGATTCCTTGGTCTTGCATGTTGCTGTTGATATTGACTCTGAATCCTTGTCTGTGACCTATTCATACTCAGTCTCTCAGCCCAGAGGGAAGTGTCTGCTCTCCCTCCCCGCCTTCTCCTCTCCCCCTCTTCCCCTTTCCTCTCCCCCTCCCGGGTAGACCCCTTCATATTCCCAGAACACAGAGGTGAGCGCCAGTCCGGAGAGAAGGTGAGGCGCAGTACTTTACTGGTCTCGCCAGGGGCCCAGCTCTTGGGGAGCAATGCAATGTGGGGCCCACACCCAGAATCTTGAAGATGCCTGACCTCCCCACAGCCGAGTTTGTTCTCCCTGATGGCCAGGCTCTTCTCGCCGGTGGCCTCTCCTTGCCCTTCCCTAGCCATTCCACGGCCTCAAAATCCACTCAGATCCCAGAGCAGAGCCGCCGGCGGCCCGTTCCCGTCCCCCGCTCCCCGCCTTAAGCCATCTTATCTCCTCCTTTGATTGTCTCTCTAGCACTTACCTTTGGAAATTATGGGAGTTACTCAGCTGCAGCTTGATAAGCATTCTGTGTAGGGCTGTTGTGAGTCCTCGAACTTAGACAGAAGGGAGAGCTGTCTCCCTGCCATTCATGGGGAAATTGGTTCCAGGACACCCCCCAACCCAAGGGCAACCCATGGGGCTCAGGGCATTTATATAAAATGCTCCTCACAGAACCACGCAGTCCTCCTGTATGCTTGAAGGGTTTCTTTTCCTCCTCCTCCTTTTGAGATGAGGTCTCTGCTGTGGAGCCCCAGACTGGCCTCTCCAGCTCGGCTTCTCCTCCATTAGCCTCCCAAGTCCTGGGATTACAGGTATGTACCACCATGCCGGGCTTTTCTGTTTTTTATTTTATTTTAAAATAATTTTAATTGAGATTAAGTGATGACATAAATTTCACAGTGTAGTAGGATAGTGATATTTAAAGTCACAAACAAATTTTAACCTTCACAAGGCAAATTGCCTGTTCTATAGGGTTTGTGAATTCTACAAGCTTTGACAGTATAACTATTTCTTCCTTGTTAGGTGATAAGTACATTTCTTTTGCTTAGGGTTAGCTGTTCCCTTTTTCCCTCTCGCTCCCTCCCTCCCGCCCATCGCTGCCCTTGAGTTGCTTAGTTCATTTTCATCAATGTGCCTGGCTTTTCTGTAATACTTGAAGCTGTGCTCTATATTTCATCCAGTAACTAATGTAAATGTGTGGACGCAGTTGTATTAGATTGTTTAGGGGAGTATAATGGGGAAAGAACCTCAATAGGGATGCAATTTTCCCCCCAAATGTCTTGTCTCTCTCTCGTTTTGTCTTGTCTGTCTTTTTCTTTAGTCCTAGGGCTTGAACTCAAGGCCTGGGCACTGTCTTTTGGCTTTTTAATTCATGGCTGGTGCTCCACCACTTGAAACACAGCTCCACTTCTGGCTTTTTGCTGGTTAATTGGAATTAAGAGTCTCGCATACTTTCCTGCCAGGGCTGGATCTCAGTTTGCTGAGTAGCTGGGATTATAGGGGTGAGCCACCAGCCTCTGTCTGTCTGTCTCTTGTTTGTTTGTTTGTTTTTTAATTTTTTATTGTGAAAATACCGTACAGAGGGGTTGCAATTACATGGGCAAGGTAATGAGTACATTTCTTATCAAACATTGTTGCCTCCTCCTTTGTTTCCCCTTCCCATCCCTTCCCATCTCCTAGCCTTAAGCTGAAGAACTGAGGGACACCGCTCAGGCCCAGAGTTCAAGCCCCACGACCTACAAAAAAAATAAGAAGTTTTGTCTCTTGTTCTTAAACTGAGGATGTAAAGGAGGACCGCGGTGGCTCCGCTTGTGTGGTTGTTACTTCCTGGCTCTGCTTAAGCTTTTGGGTTTGGTCCTTTTCATATTATGTTTCATTTCTCTGTGTTTTCTCCTTTATCTGTGATGCTTTGTGCCCAAACCCCAGGGAGGGGGGTGGGAGTGGGAGAGGGAGGCGTGGGGAGGCCAGCTAGCCATCTTGTTCTCATTCTGCAACTTGCTGGGCCATTCTGCAGAGGAAATCCCTTCTATGACTCATGCCACATGGGCCCTGGCATACCAACGGCCTGTGGGAGGCAGGGCCCACCCACTCGCCCCCACTTGCCACTCCTCCGCCCACACACTGTTCTCCACCCCCCCCACTTTACCACTAGCTGTTGAGCCGTGGCCAGCACGGGCTGGTGGTTTCAGGTGACACGTGAGCCGGCGGGTGCTGCCAAGGTCGACGGCCATTTGTCCAGGCAGCCGGCCAGCCTGGCTTATATAACTTGCCTATTTGTGTGTTTGGCGAGTGCAAGCTCAACTTTGCTCAGAAGTAACTGTAGACAAAAAAAAGTATTTTTTTAAACAAAAGTTCTGCCTTGTGGCATCTATGGTCACTGCTTTCCACTGGGCAAAACCGCGTGGCTGCCAAGGAGAGGCCCGGGCGGGGCACCCTGGGCACAGGCTCCGCTGGGAAGGGAGCAGAAGATGGCCCCTGTGTGTTCCTGTATGTATCTGCCTCAGGAAGAAGCAGGGTTAGGCACGGAGCTCTCGGGAGCCAAGCCTGCCTGAGAGCCAGCGTGTGTGGCTGGCTTCCCGGCCCTTCCGCCCTGTAACCCACGCTGGCCCCTGGCCGTGCCACTGCATTCTTCTCCCTACTGACTTTGGCTCCGTGCACACTGGGTGGCAGAGGGCAGGGCGTGGCACTGCCCTGTCCAGCTCCTGTGGGGGGGGCAATCTGATGGATGACATAGAAACTGGAGGTGTCGACCCCAGACCCAGATTCCAGGGATTACATGTCGGGTCTGGCTACTGGCCCCTATGTGCCAAAGAAAGAGACATCATAAGGCCAGAGGAGGGAGATTTGTTCAGGAATTGGAGGTATGGCTAGAGTGCTAGCTGTGAGTGAAAAAGCTGGGCAAGAGGGCAAGGCCTGGGGCTGGGAAGGTGGCTCCGTGGTAGAGCGCTTGCCTTGCATGCACGAAGCCCTGGGTTCGATTCCTCAGAAAAAGCCGGAAGTGGCTCAAGTGGTGGAGTGCTAGCCTTGAGTAAAAGAAGCTCAGGGACAGCGCCCAGGCTCTGAGTTCAAGCTCTGGGACTGGTAAAAAGAACAACAACAACAAAAAAAAAAACCAACAAGACCTGGAGTTCAAGGCCCAGTATACATGCACACAATGCACACACACACACCAGTGAAAAAAACAAGCAAAAATCTTGTTAGGATGCATTATTCTGTGGGGAAACTGCATCTGTAATGTATGTGATGTGTTTATACGTTATAAACATGTATACATGGGTGCTGCCAGGAGCTTTGTGTTTTCTAGACCAAGAATTGGGTCAGCTGGGTTGTACCTGGCTGACCTTTATCTCAAACTTTGTCTCTGGAGGAGACCCTATGATGTCACTTGATGACCAGAAGGAAACAGGAGCAAGCCTGCCCCTGTGGCCTGAAAGGTGCTCTGTCTGTCCTGGGTCACGTCTGTTTTCTTTCTTTGGGGGCAGTGTTGCTGTTGCTGTAAGATGATAAGGGGACTCATGCTGTCTGTCAGTTTGCCTATGTCACAAGATGCTTAACACTAAAGCCTGTTCTTGCTAAGGCCCCAGGTAATTACAAAGAGATGGGAGGACAGAATGCTCAGGTCAAAGGACACGGATGCAGAGGAGGGCTTGCGCAGGTGCTTTTATCCTGCTTTGCGTTAATATAGGCGCCCAAGTGAGTGAGTACTCCATGCTTTTTAGCAAAAAATAGTTTTTAAGCTGGGCTAGCTACTCTGGAGGCTGAGATCTGAGGATCATGGTTCATAGTCAGCCCAGGCTGGAAAGTCTGT